CACACACACACACACACACACACACACACACACACACACACACACACGCACACACACACACACACTTATGGCTTCTCTCAGCAACCCAGGCACAGATATTAATACGCTCATTATTATATAATTCTCTCTGAATTTCTCAAATTTGGCAAAGGATGTCCCTTCTTCAACGGAGTGAAGATTCCTCACAGTGCCTCAGATCTCATAGACAACATTGCTGAGGAACGGTCTGTATTCCATTAATGGACGCAGTGACATTCAACCACTTAGTCTGATGATTAACATGAGCTACTGAAACATGCATGAACATAGATTATACAAAACATACATACTGAACATTGACGCAGCGATTAAATGCAATTTATTATATCTTTAAAAGCATTTCCACGATATCATTCAGGAACTTAGCGCTTCAGAGTACAGAGGGAACCAGTACAGACTGCTACTGTATGACAGAAAAAAGGTCTGATGGCGTCTCAACATGTTGTCATCCCTACTCATCACATACCGACGCATTGTCAACTTCAAAATAACTCAACAACACTATATGACTAGAACACCGGCCTCGAACTCCGGTCTCTGGTCGTCCTGTGTTTGTTTGGCCAATCTGCCTCCACACCATGTCATCACACTCCTGGAGAATGTTCTCTGATCATTTATTAATGACAGTGATGGATTTACTCTGTAGCTACTTGCATGCCTGGTGTGTACAGATGCTAAAGGGTGACTTGTGCATCAGCATCAAATGCCAACGAGCGTGACAAAGCGTCTGCATTCGACTCCCTGGTGAATGAGAGTGGACTGAGAATATAGAAGAGGCAGGCAAGAACTTACCAAAAATCATTTTGTGTGTCTGTGCGCAACCCCCCAAAAAAACCTTTAGGTGATAAGCCTCGACTTAAAGTCCCACCTTCAAATGCATTGTGTTACTGAACAGCTGACTTTACAGTAAACAAACAAGCAGGAAAGGTACAGTACATGTCTTGGTCTTGCTGAAGCCCTTTGATCAATACCCAAGACTGTGTCCCTTTGACACGATAAACAAAATTATTTCA